TCATCATCATCATCATCATCATCATCATCATCATCATCATCATCATCATCATCTTAAGAATAATGATAAATTAATAGCCTAATAAATTCCCACTATAAAACAAGTAGACCTGATAGTATTCTGAAACAATTTCAACTTCTTAGGAAGCATAGGCTTAGTGAGAGCAGGCTGCCATAAAAAAAATTGTATAGGCGACATAACTGGGGTCTGAGGCCTGAATCCCCGAACCCGCCCGCAGTCTCAAGATTACCAGTTTGGTAGCCTAACCTCTAGACTACCGACCGAAGAGTTTCACGACATTTACAGCACAAATGCATGTAGGCCTTGGTCAGATTATTTATAAGCGTCGAAGATCAGGGGAGGAAAAGCAAAACATTACGCATAAAACAAAAATACCCTCCCCATTAAACTAACAAACACAATCAACCAAAAACAAAACAAAAACAATATACTCCCACCAAAAAACACAAAAACCCCAAAACAAACCCAAACAACTACGCACAACTAAAACCAGAATCAACAAACACTCCCGGGCTCGGAAAGTCTCTCTTTGGCGACCTTAGCAACAAGTAAGCCGATTTCGCTTCGTCAACTGTAACACTGATGGTAATACATACTATGCAGTTTGCTCCTGACAAAGGGGACGGAATTTGATACTAGATCTAGGAAGAGTCAAAAAGTGATGCAAGTTGTTCGCTATTTTGCACCGAGTTTTTGGTTTAATTAATGCCGTTCAGCGCTCAAGTTTGGTGCTTACGTCACATGTATTCTGGAATTCAAACTGCAAAAATTCAATTTTCTTCGATTTTTATGTGAATGGCGTAATTGTTATTTTATTATTATTATTATTATTATTATTAATACCACTATTTCATTATTGTAAGTAGTTGTAGTCGTATTTTCGTTATTATCATTATTATTTACCTTATAGATGGGGAGGGGGGGGATATTTCAGTTTAATCTTACCTCTTTCCAGTCCAACAGTTGTAATAACACACATATAATGTAATTTGTTGTTGTTGTTGTTGTTGTTGTTGTTAATGACATAATGCAATTTGTTGTTGCTGTTGTAGAAAGACATTATAATGTAATCTGTTGTTGTTGTTGTTGTAGAAAGACATTATAATGTAATATGTTGTTGTTGTTGTTGTTCTAGAAAGACATTATAATGTAATATGTTGTTATTGTTGTTGTTGTTGTTGTTCTAGAAAGACATTATAATGTAATATGTTGTTGTTGTTGTTGTTGTTGTAGAAAGACATTATAATGTAATATGTTGTTGTTGTTGTTGTTGTAGAAAGACATTATATTGTAATCTGTTGTTGTTGTTGTTGTTGTAGAAAGACATTATAATGTAATTTGTTGTTGTTGTTGTTGTTGTTGTAGAAAGACATTATAATGTAATTTGTTGTTGTTGTTGTTGTTGTTGTTCTAGAAAGACATTATAATGTAATATGTTGTTGTTGTTGTTGTAGAAAGACGTTATAATGTAATCTGTTGTTGTTGTTGTTGTTCTAGAAAGACATTATAATGTAATGTGTTGTTGTTGTTGTTGTTTTCCCAGGAAGCAGCAGCTGGAGGATGATGGGAAGACCCACCAAGACCAGCTGTCGTGAGTCATTGTTGTCGTCGACGACATTATCATCATCAGCATCATCAGCATCATCATCTGGGACAGCATTAAGTCGCCACTGTCATTATTATAATAATCATTTTCATCATCATCATCATTTCATTAACTTCATCATTAACTTCATATTTTGTCATATATGTCAGAATTATTGTCATTGTTATTGCAGTCATTTTCGTCTCTATAATCGTTGTCGTCATCATCATCATCAT